CTGTGACACGGTCAAAATGGCGGTGGTGGCCACCTCCCATTTGGCCTCAAAACCGTGATATTGGAGCCTATGGAAAGAAGATGTCCATAATATTAATGTCGATGGTTCAGGTGGAGGGGAAAAAAGGCACTTCAGAGTTACCCTCCACAGGGAGGGCATCTTTTGTCATGTTCCCGAGCCGAGGTGAGTGACACCATCTCCACTCTAACTGTGATTGAGCTGATTTCCCACAGGTGAGGAGTGGAGGGGGCTGCAGCTGCAGGAGATTTCCCAATCAGGAACTCGGGTTTAAAAGGAGGATGGAGACACCTCACTACGCCGGATGATTGCACCAGTTTAGGTAGCCCCAGCCCTTTGTACTTGTACTTGTTTGCTCGCTTTGTCTCGTTTTTGGATAATTGGATTTTGACCTCGGACTGATTTGTGGATTACGTTGTTGGATTACCCCTTACGTCTGGTGTTTGTTTCCCTTCCCTCAGGATCCTCACACAACCCACTTCACCTTCGCTGTTCTCGAACTCTGGATTACACACACCACGTCCCATCCTCCTCCATTGTTCCTGTTTGGTCCGTCTCTGCTTCCTCACCCATCCCAGATCGCTCACCCTCTGCCCAGTGCTCACCTCAGCTACCCCTCCTCCCTCATTCACCCCGAGCGCTACATGGACTCGAGCTGCACCGCTCACTCCCACAGGACTTCCCTGTGCTATTTTTGTTCCCGTTTTTGATTAAAGACCTTTTCTTTTCTCTCCATTTACTCGTCGAGTCTGATTCTGCATGTCTTGGGTTAGGCACTTACCTCGAGTCATGTCAGCTTTGCTCTGCAAAAAAAACACCTCAAACATATATGCAACAAACTTCAGACAACACAACATAAGTGTCCACTAGGTGGGGTGGTGGGGTAGCGCATGTCACCTCAGTGTGGATAGGGGGAGGAGCATTGAGGGTTGGAGGGTTGCAGTGACCCTGGAATGTTTCAGCGGCCTTCCCGCAGTCCTGCCCAGGCTGGGATAGGAGACAGAGTTGAGTGGCCATAGCGACGGCACATTCCACATATCTTCTGAGGGGGGAGTTTTCGTTGTAGCCTTGCTGGCTCAAGGGCGCCAGATTCTGATTAGAAATTGTTTTGGGGCCAGACAGAGATGATTTCCTCTCTGTCTTACAGTTTCTTGGTCCTCAACCTCTCAAAATCCCAATAATGGACATTAAAGTATTCCAATCTGTGCTGATTCGTCCACTGTATCCTTGATGGCATCCACCTTCTGTGCCAATGAATGAATCTCGGCCAAAGTCCCAAGCTTACGATTCATCTAGACAATTATTTGAGTCTGTGAATTCACAGCGCGGTGCAAACCATCTCTGAGCTCCAGGATCAGACCAATAGTCCTCGACAGCTCGTTAATTTTCCGGTAAGCCAGGTAGCCTCCAATGCTGATCAGCAGCAAACCCGACACCAACACCACAAATATCCACACATCTTCAGAGTCCTCCACAGACAGCTCACACAGATCAAATTCCACTGTTTCCAGGAGTCCATGATGTGTCCAACTGGGTCTGTCCCGGCGGGGCATCCGGGACCCCCTTCTCTCGTTCTCATCGTTGAAAAGATTTTATCAACCGTGTTTGAGTGACCAACTGACGAGATCCATTTTAGTGAATTTCAGTTTCCAATTTCCAGAAAAAATGCAGAAGCCGCCGTGCACCCAGCACACTGACAAAGGCCTTGAGGATAAGATATGGAGGAGAGGAGAAGAAAAGCGTCTGCACCCTCCAAGAGCCAGAAGAAGACAATGGGACGTGCAAATCCTTCTCTAACACATCCCAAAGATTCTCAGTGGGATTATGGTCTGGATTCTGTGGTGCCCAATGGATGAGAGTAAATGATGAATCCTGATTCCTGAACTAGTCTTTCATTATTTGAGCCAGATAAATCCTATCATTGTCATAATAGAAAATTGCCACATCATGCGGGAAGTTACCTGGTCATTCAGTACATTCAGGTGGTCAGCTGACCTGAAGCTTTAGGCTCATGATGTTCCTGAACCAGGACCGTGACAAATGGCAGAAATCCCACATCAGTGTACAAACCAGGTATTACACTTATTGATTTATTAAAATAACAATTACACCATTGTTCAATTATAAAAAAGAGGGACTGAAGGGTGCATTCTAACTACAGGGGGATTACACTGAGCCTCAGTGGTAAAGTTTATTCAGGGTTCTGAGGATCAAAATTGAGATAGTTAAGCCTCAAACTCAGGAGGAGCAATGTGGTTTTTGTCCTGGCCATGGAACACTAGACCAGCTCTATACCTTTAGGGGGGTTTGGAGGGTGTGTGGGAGTTTGCCCAACCAATCTACATGTGTTTTGTAGATTTGAAAAAAGCGTTCAACTGTGTCTTGTTGGAGGAAGTACTTTGGGAGTATGGGGTACCAGGCCCTCTGATATTGGCTGTTATGGGGCTTCCACACTAGCGCCGGCTTTACTCTACCTGGATACATTCACATCCGGAGTGTTCACATCCACATTGCCTGGATCTTCTCTTGTCATTTTTTTCAGCCCTCTTCCTAAGGTGATCTGCTTCAGGCTGAACTGAACCAACACACCCACTGGCGACTGATTGGCCGGCTCAAATTCACGCCTACCATTAGGGGGAGCCTCCGATCGGCAAATAGAATAATTAAGTGGGGGCTTACCACATGCATGATCCAATATCATACTGGATACTGTGGAGGAATCAACAGCTGTGACTGAAGGCTCTCTGAGGAGCACATCCACTCACACGCAGAGAGCCTGTCAGGCTTGAGCTGCACCAGGCCACACACAGCAGCGCAGGATGCAATATCTGAGTCAGAGTCTCCAAAGGCAATACTGCTCACAACCACCTTTGTTTCATTTAAGGAAGAAACTGCTGATCTTGCGCATCTTTTGCCCCACCCACATACCTGGAGATATGCTCATGACATCACTGATATCTTTGCGCCAATTTTGAAGACCGCCCATATGCTCATTCACGTCTGCATTCCTTAGGACGTATGGAAGAATGTGTGTAATCAACCCGGCCAGACTGGAGCTTACTGCGCTGAGTGGAGCAAAGTGGAGCTGGCCCTAGTGTGGAAGGGGCTTTAGGACCCTGTATAACATGGTGTCAGAGCTTGGTCCACATTGCCGGCAGTAAGTCGGACTTGTTCCCTGTTTATAACAGCTAAGGTGTTGAGGGGATTCGTTTAGGTGACCTGAGAATTGGGTTTCGGCTTTTTGCAGATCACGTGGTCCTGTTGGCTTCATCAGACCGTGATCATCTGGCTTTCACTTGAGTGGTTCGCAGCCAAATGTGAAGCAGCTGGCATGAAAATCAGCACCTCTAAATCAGAGACCATGGTCTTGAGTCAGAAAAGAGTAGAATGCCTTCTCTAGGTCAGGGAGGAGGTCCTGCCCCAAGGGGAGGAGTTCAAGTATCTCAGGGTCTTTTTCTGTTCATGAGTGAGGGAAAGATGGAGCATGAGATTGATGTGCTGATTGGGGCTGCATTTACAGTAATGCAGGCGTTTCACTAGTCCGTTGTGGTGGAGATAGAGCTGAGCCACAAGGCAAAACTTTCAATTTACTGGTTTATCTACGTTCCAACCCTCACCTATGATCACAGGCTTTGGATAGTGACCGAAAGAACAAGATCGTGGATACAAGCAGCTGAAGATGTCTTTCTCTGCAGGGTGTCTGGGCTCTCTCTTAGAGATGGGGTGAGAATCTTGGTCATCCGGGAGGGGCTTGGAGTAGATCCGCTCCTCCTCCACATTGTTAGGAACCTGTTGAGGTGGCTTGGACATCTAGTTAGGATGCCTCCTGGACTCGTGGAGATGTCTGTCGTGTCCTCCTTAAGTTAGTAAACAAAGGCAGCTGTAAGCAGCGCTGCTTTTGGAGACTCTGATATTGCTTCCTGCTCTCTCTCTCACTGAGACTGCTGTATGTGCTCACAACAGTCTGTCCTCGCACTGCAGTGGCTGGAGCGGCAGCTCCCAGCTGCACGCCCCAACATCCAGAGTGATAATGAATCGAGCATGCGGGGAGCCCCCGTTGGCTGATTCTGCCGCCAGTCGGTAGTCCGAAAGCTAGGCATGGATTTCAGCCAGTCAACCAGTCGGCAGTAGGTGTGTTGGATCAGTTTAGCCCGAAGCGGACTGTCGGGGGAGGACATCTGAAAAAACGGTTGGTTGAGCACGGAAAACACACAGGCTACCCAGATGTTAACACAACGTACTCGAACAGGGCCGTTCTGATCAGACCCAGATGTGAGAGCGCCACAAGTTTCTCGGCCTGCCAGGGAATGCCTCGGGATTCCCTTAGAGGAGTTGGCCCAAGTGGACTCTCTGCTTAGGCTGCTGCCCCTGTGACTCAACTCTGGATAAGCAGAAGAGAATGGATGGGAGGGTGGGTGGATATTCAGTTCAGTGAAGCCATCGTTGCACACACTGTAGTTAATATTATACAGATATTAAAATTATTAAATATGTGAATAAATCAACATTTAATTCATGAGATTTTGGGGCTTTTGGAGAATTTCCTTTTGTGTTTAAGCCTTTTCTGTTCAATTTCACACACACACACACACACACACACACACGTACTGATGTGCCTGAAGACGCTGGAGCCTCAGACGAGCTTCCTTTCATTTGCAGAGCTGAAATGGTTGACTCTAACCAAGCACAAGGCTATTTAGCAGGTTGCTTCCCGAAGTGTGACGCCGGTCCACAGGGACACTCAAAACGGCCTCCAGGGGTCCTTTGGAAAATTAAAGGCCATTTAATTTCACTGATGCTGAACTCATTACACGTTTAGATAATTTGCCTGTATAGCTTCCCAAACAAACAAGACACTCTTATGAAGCATCTTCAGGGGAAGATTACAGATCTGCAGCTTTGTGGGAAACAGTTTCTAGTTTAATTGGGAGCTTTTAGGATAATACAGCTGAAAAGAAACATGAAAATAAAAACACACTGACTTGAGCAGAAGAAACCTTTATTTTACTCCCAGCTTCCAGTGAACACATTTAGCAGCTTAAACATTCATTTGCAAGTTAAAATCCCAACAGGATGGAGGACCTGATCGTTAAAAAAGCAAAACAAAAGACAACTCCTGAATCATAACGAATTCAGCAGGACCAACAGGACTTTTATTACCGAGACTTGATGTAGCAGCGTGTTAAGCTCGTCACATTTAAACACTCCCATGGTGAGCTCTGATACGAACACAGTAAAACGTACACCCAGAAAACTCTGTCTTCTGTTTCTGGCAGCAGCTCTGCATCGGCACAGAGAAGGTGTCCACCTTGGTCCATCTTCCACCAGCTGCTGCAGCAGCTGCAGACTTCAGATCAACATCAGACGACTCAGATCAGTTAGAGCTCACAGAAGGAGCCAGAAGTGAATCAAACACATCTGTGTTTCAGAATCAGAAACACGTGTGGATTTAGCGGATTAAACACGGATGCATTACATGCTTTAAAATAAAAAAAAAAACATTATTTTAATGATGTTCAGAAACACGTCGGGCCTTTCAAGAGGAATCCCTTTAATTTAATCACATTATTGTAATAATAAAGATCATGCTGTTAACTGCTGCCAGTCCAAACAAACGGCTGCTTTAAACTTCACAGGGATCTCCGTTAGGATCCATCTCTGCCTCTCCAGGCCTCGTTGCTGCTCCTGTACTTCTAACACTGCGATAAATAAACCAAATGGATCTTAAATATTTCAAGTTTGACTCAAAGTCTAACATACTTTTGAAAAGGAAACTTTTTTCCTATTTTGGCAAATAAGGACCAATATTTTGGCTCCTGAAAAGAATCTGGATGAAAAAGCGTGTGAGCAGGAGAGGGTGTTTGATTGGCAGGTGGAGCAGAGGAGGTTCTCCCATGATGCAGTTCTTTTCATTTACATGGCATCGAAATGGAAACGGTGGGCTTCCTGCCTCTTCTCTCGGTCGTCTGCTTTCTGAGAAACAAACAAGACACAAAACATTTATTTAGACAAGAATTTAAAGTCCATGTCTCAATGATTCAGCATGTACCTGAGGCAAGTCTACAGGGCTGAGCGGAGGGATGACAGACAACAAAGCAGCTTTTCATTTCCTCTAAAATCAAACCTAATAAAAAACTATAACAAGTCAAAGACCAGTGTTCAGTGCCGATGAGCAGCAGCCACAGAGGCGCAGGTGGACTTCAAAGATAAAATGTTCATGTAAAAACAATAATAAAGCCAGTTTAGTCCTCTGAAGCCTCGCTCACACTGACGGTGGTTCAGAGGCGGTCCGGTTTCCGTGCGTAATGTCGTTCATGTGCTTGTCACCTTTCTCAGTGGCCTAGTGGTAGAGTGTCCGCCCTGAGACTGGGAGATCAGGGGTTCGATTCCTGGTCGGGTCATACCAAAGGCTTTGAAAAAATGGGACCCAATGCCTCCCTGCTTGACACTCAGCATTAAGGGCTTGGATTGGGGGGTTAAACCACCAAATAGTTCCCGAGCGCGGCTGTGTCTGCAGCTCACCGCTCCCCCAGGGGATGGGTCAAATGCGGAGAACAAATTTCGCACACACACCTGTGTGTGTGACAACTAATGGGACTTTGAAGAATCTGGAAATCTGCTCGCACAAGAGCGCCAACTGATTAGAAGTTTATCTTAAAACGTTTAAAGATAAAGCTGTAAAAATAAAGTGAACGATCAAACTCTGTGAACTGATATCCCCGCATTAATAATAAAACAAAAACCAGTAACAATAATGCAACACAGGTTTTATTTTGAAATATACTGGATGCGCCTCACTGAAATACGTCTCCCTTCCTGTCTGGCTCACGTAATTCCTTTAACTTCGCGACAGAGCAGCAGTAGCTCAGGAGCTAGAGTGGCTTGTCCAGTAATTGGAAGGTTGCAGGTTCAATCCCGGCTCCGACCAGAGAATGCTGCCATTGTGTCCTTGGGCAAGACACCTAACCCACCTTGCCTGCTGGTGGTGGTCGGAGAGACTGATGGCGCCTGTGTACGTCAGTGCTCCCCAGGGCAGCTGTGGCTACATCGTAGCTCATCACCACCAGCGTGTGAATGTGGGTGTGAATGCTATACAAGTACAGGCCATTTACAATCCACATGTGGTGTCTGGAAAAAATAGACTCCATGTGGTGCAGATCTGGATCTGGTGTGAATGCTCTTATTGGACTACCCGGACTTTGATCCGTGCAGAAACCATATGGAAACCGGACCGCATCTGTTCAGCGCTTGGTGTGAAAGAAGCTCCAGCACTGGGACAGACTGGGAGCTTCTCTAAAACCAGTCAGTAATGTTTATCATTAATGATGTTTTAAGGTTGGACCGGACCATTGCTGGTGTTTCTGCCAGAGAAGCAGTGGTGTGTGTGTGTGTGTGTGTGTGTGTGTGTGTGTGTGTGTGTGTGTGTGTGTGTGTGCGAGCCACCTGCTCCTCTGTGGACGTGGAGAGAGGACCCTGTTCACAGAACTCATGCTCTTATTTCCATGGAGGGATTTTTTATTTTTTCCCTGAAGTGCTGCATGAAGGTCCAAAGTTCACCAGCTTTCATTCCTGCTCCTCAGCCTCATCAATCAATCAATCAATCAATCAATCAATCAATCAATCAACCAACCAACCAACCAATCAATCAATCAATCAATCAAAGCTTATTTATAAAGCGCCTTCCGCGACCCTGTCGGGAAGCCCAAGACGCTGAACATGGTACATGAGAAAAAAAAGGTAAAAACATTAAAGTAGAAGACAAATGGGTAAAGCAAGAAATAAAGAGACCAATGAAAGCAGGGAATTAAAATCAACATAAATGAAGGCCTCACTCAAACACGTTCAGGGAACGCCAAGCGGAGGAGGTTGGTTTTTAGGCGACTCTTAAAGACTGGCAGAGAAGGGGACAGCCTAACTGAGGGTGGCAACTGGTTCCAGAGTGACGGTGCTAGGACTGAGAAAGCCCGGTCCCCATGGGTACGACACCTAGAACGAGGGATAG